CACACACGGAGCTGACCGGCTGTGGGGAGGGGGGGGAGGGGGGGGGAAGCGCCGTCGCAGTGCGGTGGGCTGGCCCGGGCCGGTTGCCGCGACACACGACCTTGAGCACACCGCAGCCCCAGATGCACGCCCGCCGCCGACAGTCGGCGCCGAGTCGTCGGCGAGGGAGGACGGGTGGAGCACGCCGCCGCCGGCTCCGGCACGTCCCCGAGCTCAGCCTTCTCCGTCCGCCGCCGCCAGCGTCAGGCAACACCGCCCCGTCCGCACAAAGATGACGTCGCTAGTACGGCCTCCGACGACGCTGGCCTGCCGCGCGCCGGCAGGCACCGCCGCCACGCTCGCCGATCCGTCGCCGACCAGCGCTGGTCCCGCGACGCCCAGCGAGGGACCAGCGACCCAGCGCGGACCCGCCGCCGCCACCGCCCAGCCGCTGCCCGTGCGACCTGCACCGGCGCGAGGAGCAGGCGGCGGAGTGGCTCTCGCAGATACAGCACGCGCAGCAGCAGCAACAGGAGCAGGAGCAGGAGCAGGAGCAGGAGCAAAAGCAGCGGCAACATCAGAGGCAGGAACAGCAAGCTAAGCAGCAGCAGCAGCAGGAACAGCAAGAGCAGGAGGAGCGCCCGAATCAACAGGAGCAGCAAGCACAACGGCAGCAACAGACGCAACAGGAGTGGCAGAAGCAGAAGGAGCAGCAAGCGCAGCGACCGCCGGCGGCCGAGGAGCAGGTGCATCAGCCGGAGCAGCAGCGGGATCAGCAGGCGCAGCAGCAGCTGCCTGCCGCCGTGCTGGACGCCTTCCTCGCGCTGCCCTACGTGCACGAGCTGAGCGTCGCGCAGCACAGCCGCGTCGTGGCCAACAGCGAGAAGATGTTGCGGCTGGCGTTCTGCGCCGTGCGCCGCTGCTCCGGCCTGCCGCTGCCTCTGCCGCTGTCGCCGGACGAGCCCAGCTGCGGCGTCTGCGACCGGCTGGCCGGGCTGAGCGTGCAGCAGCTCTGGCTGTCCGGCAGCGTGCGCGAGGGCTCCGATGTGAGGATGGTGGCGTGCGGAGAGCGCGCCGACCTCGACGTCATGTTCCAGCTGGGCCCGGCGGCCGTGCGGACGGCGATGGCGGAGATGGCGGACGCGGAAGAGACGCCGGGGAGCGTGGCAGTGAAGTCGTCAGAGGACACCAAAGAGGAAGTCGCAGCAGGGGCCGAGTGTGAGACGGGAGAGGAGGCACTGAGGACGCCGGGGAACACAAGAGAGGACAGCACAGCGCACGCACCGCCGCCGGAGCCTCTTGCGTTAACCGCCGAGCCGGCAGGCCGGCCCGGTTTCCTGCTTCTGCGGCACGCGCGGCGCGCCGACTGCCGCCACCCGGGCGCGCTGCCGCTGGCCGGCGACCGCGTGCGCCGGCTGATGGACGCGTTCGGCGCCGGCGTCAGCCGCGGCCGACGAGACCAGACCGGCCCGGCCGTCACCGGCCGCCTCAAGAACCTCAACCTGCGCACGGGCGCCCTGGCCATGGACGTGGTGGCCTGCCTGACGCTGCCGGGCTGGCCGAGCGGCGCGTTCGCGGCGCGCCGCCGGCCGGCCGGCCGCCCGTGCGCCGCCACCGTGCGCCGCCTCTGCCGCACGGGCGCACTGCTCGTGCCAGTCGGCTTCCCCGGCAGCGCCACCGAGCGACTCGAGTGGCGGCTGTCGTTCTCGCGGCACGAGTACATCGTGTACCGCAGCATGGGGCCCGAGCAGCGCCGCTGCCTGCTGGCGCTCAAGTACTGCAAGATGGCGCTGGGCGACCGCGCCAGCGCCGTCAAGAGCTACTACCTGAAGACGGCGCTCATGTGGCGCTGGGAGACGGCCGCTGAGGAGGTCTGGTCGCTGGGCAACATGTACGACACGCTACTCCAGCTGCTGGCGTACCTGGAGGCGTGCGTGGCGCGCGGTGTCCTCCCCTGCTACTTCCTCCCCGAAGTGAACGTGCTTGGCAGCCGCTCTGACAGCGAACTGCGCCTACTGGCGACGGGCCTAACCGCGATGCGTGCCCGCTTGTTGAGCGCCCTGCTGTCGCTGGCCGCCTGCTGGACAGGTGACGAGGCGGCTCGGCTGGGCGCTCGCTGCCTGGCCGGCGGCGGCGCGCACGAGGTGGCGCTGGCGGCGCGGCGCGGCACGCTCGCCGCGCCGCTCAAGCCGCTGGTGCGCGAGTCGTTCGACGCGATGCTGGGCGGCCTGTTCGCGCCGTCGGCCGACGGCCGTCCGCCGGGCATGCCCGTCTGGTCGCTGCTGACGTTGCTCTTCCAGGTGATCCGGCTGGCCTGGCTGGGGCCCGGGCTGGCGGCCGAGGCCGAGCGCCAGCGCGACGGTCGGGTGGAGCTGGCGCGTCGCCCGGCCCGCGCCGCCCGCTCGCCCAGCTCCTCGCCGGGGTCGCCAGAGGCGGCCTGCGGATGGGTTGAGTCGATGCTGCTGATCGCCCAGCACAGCGGCAGGGACGCTGAGGCCGGCGGCCACGACTGCTGGCTGGAGGAGGACTAAGGGGGGGGGGGGGGGGCACCGGACCGCAGAGTCGCTCGCTGGTTCTGTACCTTGATGCGATTGAGGGCTGTGGTTTCGTGCTGCAGAGACTTTCCGCTCCCTTAGTTGGGTAGCCAATAAGCTGGTCTGGTTCTGATCCGTTAACGCAAACAGCCTTTGCGAAGAACGGAAGACTGAGCAGCGATAGATTAGCGTGTCGTTTCACTGTGATACACCATCACCACGGCCTGTCGTGACACCCAGGCCACGTGGTGCATGGCAAGTAGTCATGGGATGGCTGTCAAATGCCTGTCAAAACTGTAGCTGTCAACTTCTAGTCGGTTCTGGCCTGAAAGCACCTGCTTGAGCGCTGTGGTGATTGAAATGTAGTGATCTAGTGGAAACAGCGTAAGTGTACTATTTAAGATGGTGTTAGAGAACTACACCAATGAAGCAGCTTATGACATGCGCCAGAGTAACGCCCGCTGACAAGAGATGTTGAGCGCGTTGCTTGGCAACCATTTGTGCCGTACAGAACCAGCTGCGTGAGGTGAGTGCGGCGGTGAGACGCAGGGCGTATGAATAGCTCGCACACTCGAAAAGCGAACTGAGACAGAAATGAGAATGAAATTCGAGAAAAGAGTGCGCGTGATCTTGCCCACCGCCGGTCTTGCGGTCTTGCAGATCGATCTTGCACCGATCAGAACATCTTGCCGATGCGTGATGTTGCCGATCTGCGTTAGCGGCACAACACCAGGCCACGACATCAACTGAAACGGATCTGCTCACCCTTAAGACATTTTTAGGTTTTTTTGGCATTCGAGACGCACATGAAGCTCTTGCATGGTGAATGTCATAACAGATCTGCCGGCGTCTGACGCGGCAGTACTCGCCTTGGTGACGATCAGCTCTCAGGGTTTTCTGTCTCAACTGAGTTCCGGGTGGTGATTGCTGATGACTAAGCATGCACGTTGAATTCATTTCATATCAAACGAAATGATTCCACAACAGTGAGAAGGCTGCTATTGACAGGATCCTTCTCCAGCATAGAGATAAATTCCAGCCCCAATTTTTTAAAAGAAGGAATCTCCACTCGCCGAATTGCGAATTGCGAAAAAAATTGCGAATCGCCACTCGGTGGGTCTTAATGACATGGTGGCGAGCTTTCTTACAAACATCCGGAAACATGCCCTAAGTTTCGCCTTCTCACTAGGCAAAGACACAGAACTACGACCTCGTTCTCAAATGTCTTTGCGAGGAGGAACCTACAACACTTCTCTGCATATCCCACGCAAGCCCTACCAGCGATTAGCCGTGATATCCCCTTGACGACAGTCTCCATAGCTAAGCCAGCCAAGGCTGAAGTCACCGCAAAGACGCTAAAACCGGCTCGGCGGCCTGAGAAGGCAGCCACCGCACCAACAAGCCACGTAAACAAGGTCTCTTCCCTGCTCCCCGAAGCGCACCTCGCCGCGGCGGCGCATCCGCTGAATATTCGCGCGCCGGTGTATTCGTTCGTCCGAGAACGAAGGTGTTTAGTAAGACGTTAAGGTGCTTATTAGTCACGTAAGGCACGCCGTTAATGCCCATGACGGGCGTAATGGCCGTTCACGGCCAACGTCGGTTAAGGAGGCCGTAACGGCTGTAAACGACACCACATCAGTGACAGCAGCCTTTTGACGCCAATAGCTTACCGCCGCGGGTCACACACATGTGGCTGATATGCTGTCTGCAGAGAATCACCTGATTTTGTTTCAACTTGCGAAAGCAAACCGACCGAAGACCCAACCAGGGCTGGTTGCTCGGAGTTTGCACCCGTTTACATCCGTTTGCCTCTATTTGCACCCGTCTAATCTTAATGCTGTCGCCAGTTCGTTTCTTAAAAGTCCGGCGTCGTTGTCGTTTTGGTTTCCGAAACGGTAGAAACAACCTGAGTAAAAGTCACATTACATCCAACTGACCGCATTGGGTCAAGAACTGACAGGGGTCATGTCACTTCCACACTATAACCTCTGGAGTGACGCATGACTCCCGAAACTGGCAAAGGGTTGGTTAGGTATGCCATGTTTCAGTGCTGAAATTGGCCCGCAAGATACCGCAATACGTCGGAGTCGATTAAAAAAAACGTTAGAAGATATCAAAATTGGACAACACTTTTTACCAAAAATGCACCCGTTGCTGTCAAGTTGTTTCGAGCACCTCAGTCTTATCCATCGCATACATCACAAAATAAAATCCCACCAAAAAAGCGAGGGCATTTCCTCGAAATTCATTCAGGGTGCATGTTTCCAGCGAACTGCGCAGTTTCTACGCCCGAAAAAACGCCCTGATCTGCGGCTACTCACAACAAACCCGAACCAGACTTGGCACCCGCGAGTCAGAAGTACCGCCTACATCCGCCGTGAATTGCAATGCCTCCTCGTGACTGCAGTGGCGTGCGTGTTCGCGCTGCACATCGATTGCAAAGCTTGCAGTGGTCGAGCATTGTTGCCGTGCCCGCGTGCACCGGCAGCACTCTGCGCTCTGCACCCTCCTCCCCCCCCCCCCTCCCCCCGGTCAAACTACGGGTGCCCCAGACGCTGACGTCACTGGGCTCGTCTGGCGCAGAGCAGCACGCAGAGGAGGCGTGCGCTTGCCGAGGCGCCACGAGCGTCCGGCCAGGCTCGTCTGTTCTTCAGTTGGCACGAGCGTCACTCACAGCCAGCGTCCCACGAATTCTGGAGCCGCCCCGGTGGGTTGGCCCCGTCTTTTGTGTCGTTTTTTATGAGCGGCGCGGGCAAAAAAAAAACGCTCCACACCGAGCTGATGCAATGGCGCGCCTCCACCCACAAGTAAGCCGCCGGCAGCCACGTTCACAAAGCTAGGGAATGGCGGCTGGTGCGTCCCTGACCGTAATGTTTTTTCTTCCTTTTTGAACAGCTGCCGTAGCCAGCCAGCCTCTGGTGCCAAAATAAGCCCTGGCACTGCGCACGGCGAAGCAGAGCGGTAATCAGACTGTACACCACCGCCAGAAGCCGGTAAGGGATGCAATGCACTCAGAAATCAGCCGAGTTTACGAGGGCCAAGCGCATAATTTCGTGCTCACTCCGATGTTGTGTGTGCCTCGGCAACGGAACCGCCTGCCGGGTGTCCGATCGTCCCTAAGACAGATGGAAACGTGTCGCTCCGACTGGATGCTGATATTCCGACATAGGTGACAGATTAAAGACTCGATACATATTTGCCGGCGTGCAAAATCCAGCTCCAGCCTAAGACCTCGCATGATCTTCAAGCTCGTGTCACCGCACAGCAGTGTGCTGGAACTGCTTCCAGATTGCCACCTTAAGCTCACGACCCGTGGAAAGCGAATCAAATGTGCACGGATCGCTCCGTGTCGGAAGCCGGGCGCCAATCGCCCGCCCACGCGCGCTGGGCCCGCGTCACGGCCGGATAAGCGGAGGCAGAGTCGACCTCCAGCCCGGCTAGTGGCAGTTCCAGCAGCTCGTCCATGCCTTCACGCCGCTGCCTGGTAACGCGCCAGCCGTTGCGAAAGCTGTCACCAGCGCCGTACGGGCAGGTACATTCGGCAGGGGTCCAGGCTCCTGGATTTTCCGCCGTGGTAACTTACGAACTTAGCAAGTCGCCGTGTCGGGCGGAAAAGCAAATTCGTACGCGATAACGTCCAAACCGGGAGACATTTGGACGTCAATCCATGTGTTAGTACGAGGCGATTTCATTGTTCGGCAGTTGCACGCAGTCACAACAATGAGTACAGCTGTGCGAGGCGACCTTGTTTACAGGGTGCAGCACGTGTTCCAGGAGACCGCCCCGGTCTGAGCCCGGCTGTTAGTCATGCCACGCCCGTTGTTGTCTGGCTTTGATGCCTCCGATATTGTCATGCAGAGTAAAAACACACGACGCCACATTTAGCATAGCGTGGCCCGCCAGCATTTCGTGAGTCCTTGAATTTGCTCACTCATCCGATGAAGCAGTTGAGGGCAATGACAGCAATATACAAGCTGCATGCAGGTGCAACATTCTGCAGCACAGAATGACGCGCTAGTATTTACAGCACGCGAAGACTACGCGGCCTCCCTGTGTTTCAGCAGCGGCCAAATCACCACGTTGGGCATGCGGTGCCTGCTCTGAAAGCGGTATATCCTGCCTTCATCTGCTAGGTTTAAACGCAGGCGATGCTTTGTATTTTAGGCATCGATCACCCGCATCCAGCATGCATACTCCCGACACGACCAATTTAAGCATGGTAATTGGTGGGAATCCCCAACAATGACCACCTAATACTTTCTCTGAAAATAACTATTACAATTATCCAACGAAAACGTTGCTTTGCCAGCAGCTCACGCCCCACAAGTCTTTCACGCGCTGCAGGCAGAGACTGCGATAAGCTGTTATATATATGGTTGTGTGCATATGAAGTCAGCTATTGGCGAGAGGAAAATAAGCGTACTTGTTTTATCGTTGGGTTTCACATCCCTCCTACTGGTATTCCATTTGCGTATGCCATTGGTTTAAAATATCATTTTCAGAAACCGCCAAGATGACCACCTCATGCTAATCACGATGCTGATGGACCCCATTTTGGTTGGTTCAAGTTCATGAATTGCTGCGATCGTCAATGGGAATTAACAGGTCGCCCAGAACAAGACGATTTCTGCTGGTGGCCCCGCAGAGGGGAGATGCTTCACACCGGCGTGTCAATCCGAGCTTGAGAAACAATGCAACACAAACAACGAACCGCAACCGCCTATGCGCAGGCTGATGACTGACGGCGCAGGTTGATGATTTACGGCGCAGGCTGATGAGTGACGGCGCGGGTTGATGATTTACGGTGCAGGTTGATGACTGACGGCGCAGGCTGATGACTGACGGCGCCGGTTGATGATTCACGGCGCAGGCTGATGAGTGACGGCGCGGGTTGATGATTTACGGTGCAGGTTGATGACTGGCGGCGCATGCTGATGGTTGACGGCGCAGGCTGATGACTGATGTCCGTACCCAATAGCAGAAACTGGCTAACTGGTTAGCCTGGTTATGGACTGGAAAGTGCTGGCTATTTCGCCACGCGTGTAGCTCCTTCAGCTTGGAGCGTCGCAACTCACCGTTAACGGCACAACGGGGGAGATAAAACCATAACGCCATCAGCGGCACGCCGTGCGCACGGTAACACCGAGGACTCAGACGTGACATGGGGCGCGTCTCCGCCTCGCCCAGCTGACGGCAGGTGCCACGCCCTCAGCGGCGGACAGCGGTGCCCAGCTGACGGTCAGTGCCGCGCCCTCAGCGGCGGACAGCGGTGCCCAGCTGACGGTCAGTGCCGCGCCCTCAGCGGCGGACAGCGGTGCCCAGCTGACGGTCAGTGCCGCGCCCTCAGCGGCGGACAGCGGTGCCCAGCTGACGGTCAGTGCCGCGCCCTCAGCGGCGGACAGCGGTGCCCAGCTGGTCCCGGCAGGACCCGGCACGCTCCAGACCGGCCCGGGAGACGGGAGCCTGGGAGACCGAGGACCCGGGAGACCGGCAGCCGGGGGTCCGGAAGCCCCGGAGCCCGGGAGCTCTGGAGTCGGGCGGGACATGCACACCACAGACCAGGCGGGGGGCGCGGCTGACCTGGTACAGGTCGAAGTTGTCCATGAAGGCGGCCAGCTTGGTGGCGCTCTGTCGGCCGCTGCCGCCGATACCCACCAGCAGGGCGTGACCTGGGGTCACGGGCCACGGTCACGGGTCGCCCGCGGCGGGCAGAACGCCCACGGCAAAACATGGGAAATGTGCAGCGAAGTCTTCGAGAGACTGCATACAGCCGTTTGGAGTTTTAGCGACGTAAGCCATCGCACGACAGACTACCAGCCTGTTAAGCTACCAACCTTAACCAACCTGTTAAGCTGTTAACCATGCACTGATGACAGACCGCTAAGCTAACGCACATAGGTCGTCGTAGACGCTGTAGCATGCAATGCCCACATACATCAGGTGTAAACTGGCGGCATATTGGCGCCTCAGAACACTGAAGAAATGCTCGTGATTGGCAACTTGCAACAAAACCACACCGTACGCTTGCAATGCGTCATCCTATGTGGACCAGTTCGTGCACTGTATTGCAAAGAGGTCTGACTTGTGATAATTATGTTGCAGTGCAATACCCCGCATCCCAGTTTTCTCGGCGAGCACCGGCCACACCCTCACCGGAGTCCTGCTTGAGCACGCGGCTGATCCGACTGATGTGCTCTATGATGAACTTGAACATGACCAGGTTCATCGGCGTCTTGTTGACCATGTTGTACTCGCTGAGGTAGCCCTCCATCACCTCCGTCAGCGCGTCCAGCTCCGTGATCTGGAACAGCATCCAGTATCCAGTATCAGCCGGGCCTTCAGCTGACAGCCCGGCATACGTGCGCCGACATCGAACAACTCTCGGATATGTAACGCACGTCACAGAATTCACGTACCGTCATGAAATCTGGCAAAGCTTGTAATGAGGCAGTGTGTGAGGCTTCATGCTGAAATACAGTATGGGGCTTCAACGGTGACCACCTAGCTGATGCAGGTATGGGCCCGAGCCGCTTGGGCGGTGCGTTGTCCAATTCTAATTACTTCCAAGTAGCTACATACATACATAAATAAATATATATATATATATATATATATATATATTTACTTCCAAGCAACTATACTTCCAAGTGACGATCAGAGCATCTGTCCTTTTCTACTTAATGTGGACTTAACAGAGCCAACCACCTAAAATGCTCACACGAAAAATGCAAATTTGATGCTCGCTCTTCTTGTTTGGGACGGCGCGCCCCAAATCTACGCGCACCTATCCAACCCAGCCGCGCCCTGCTGCTCCCGCGTCCGCACCAGCGCCCTAACCTCGTCGTAGATCTTGGGGTCGTTGTCGGGGAAGAGATAGTCGCCGAAGAAGAGGTTGCGCGCGTGGTCTTCTGTGAGGCGCGTGCCCTCGGGCGCCAGGTGACCCAGCACCTTCTCCACCGGCTGGTGGAAGCTGGTGTCGCACGTGGACGCCACCAGCTTGAAGAAGGCCGCCCTGGCATCGGGTCAACGTGCCGGTCAGAGCGTGCGTCAGAGCGTGCGTTAGAGCGTGCGTCAGAGCGTGGGTCAGAGCGTGGATCAGACGGTGGGCCAGGGGCTAAATGAGACTGCAGATCACGGGACAAGTAAAATGGTGACTTCAACGCAGGAGGACAGTGACATGTCAGACACTGGGTCGGAGGGCAGGCCAGGGACGGAAGAGGCCGGGCCAGTGAGGGAACAGAGGGTGAGCGATGACATGTGAGAGAGCGTGACAGGTTCAGGTCGCAAGCCTAGTGACCGAGCCGTGTTGGCGGCGGCTGGCTAGCGCTCCAAACATACTGCTGAGCACACCATGAGTACAACTTGTCAGCCCGGAGCCGCCTTCTGACGTGGACTTGCCGCGCCGTGAAAAAACTCACAACGGTGACAGAACAAATAACTACTGCAGCACAGCAAAACAAGACCAGCTGAGACGCCAGGTTCAAGTCTAAAACGGCACACGATGAGCGCGTCGTGGGTATGACCCTCCAGACTGTGAGACGCGTGTTCTGCTCCCACGGCCTGCACGTTTTTCAGACTCATCGCAGGGAGCGGTGTGAAGGTTCGAGATGAAGCTGCCATCACGGTCCTGGGTGTTGCAACTGGAGTATCTGAGTGCGAATGACACTTAAGTGTTCCGAACAGGCTGTTGCACGATGACAAGTCGGAACACCGCACAATTTCCGCCAGACGACCCCGCATGCGAGGCAAAGCTGAGCGGGCTATCGCGTGGGCCGGCCGCTAGCGTTAAAGGCGGTATTGGATGACGACGAACCGATGTAAGAGTACCGCGTGCGCATTTCTCTCTACGTGCAACCGAATGTTTTATACCAAACAGATCCCAAACAAAGGTTTACAGCACTTCCGCGCTTGTATTCAGAAGGCACCAACAGACCAACTAACCCCTCGATGGGAAAAATCACTGCGCTTTTAAGGTGTGAGTGGTACCCCACTGGCCCATTTCCTCAGGGCTCCACAGCGGCGGATGAGAGGTTCAGAACTTCTTGGCTTCTGCTCGGCCATCGCTGATGTGTTGCTACGCCATTTTCGGCAGTCGTCAGCTGCAAGACCGCTCGACTTCAAGCCACACCACTGCGGCATGGCGGCGACACCATAGCCGCGGCCAGAACGTGTGAAACTGGCGAAGACACGGCTGGATTCGTGCCGAACCGGGCTTCATAACGCACTTACTCCCTCAGGCGTGAACGGTGTGACTTTGCTTTACCTGCGCTGACGGCTAGCACTGGCAGCATCACGTACCCGATGCACTTCCTGCCTACGGGACTGTACCTATACTCTGCCGCTGCCCGTTCCTAGCGACGCACCCATTTGCATTTTCCGGCCCTTTGATTCTGAGTTTTGGAGTTTTAGGAATGTTTACACCCAAGGTTGTTTTTATGCGTTGGTAATTTAAAAAGTAGTAAAATGGGATAATTACGCTTAAAAGAAGTGCAGCTGTACAATTTCACTAGACTCGATGAGTACCTAACCGACATTTCGTGAACGTCTTGCCCACACCCGTATCCGTAACCTAAATATTCCCAGTCTGTGACCTTACACAGCCCGTTGCCAATCCTATCCGTGTACTCAGCGGACTACGCCAGCGGTGATGTCCTCTATCCGGACCTCCCTGGCGCCGCCACTGCACCCGTCGTTGTCGAGCAGAGCCAGCGGTGCCCCGAGGCGTGACCCGGACCGGTCGGGCCGCCCGGCCGGGGGTCAGTGGGGTCAGGCCGGGCCGGGTCAGCTCAGTCGGAGGGCGGAGCGAGGGGCGGAGGTCGGCTCCGAGGGACTTGGTAAGCGCGGTGAGTGTTATGTTCATCATTGTGCAGCCTTTCAGCCTCATGCTCTTCCCTCGCGTTCCGCAAACACAACGCCGCAAACTTGAAATTGTCGCTCCAGGCGAGGCGGTCTACGACTTCTTGAAAACTTTGCGCATGCTTCCCATGCTGAGTTATCGGCCTTCATTTTGCCTGGAGGTACTTGTTAAACCTCGTTACGGAGCAAACACGTGTTTAGTTGTAGCCAATGCTCGCTCTATAGCGTCGCTTAACACGCACCCGGGCGGCCTGCTGAACAGGCTTGCTCGGGTGGGGGTAACTTGAACCCCCTTAATTCTCAAAAACTAAGAGCCAGAGGCACCAATTCGCAAGGTGAGTTAGTCTGTATGTCAGCCCACTTGTGCCAAAATTTGAGGTTCCAAGTTATGACCTTCGGGTCTAATAACGTCGAATAAGGTCGAAGTCAAGATAGATGTTTTAGCACACCACACCAAATCTCGCAAAATTGTAGAAAATTGAAAAGTGGATCGTTTGGCACTAAGAGTTCAGATGTCCCTCATAAGGTCGCCAACTTACGGCAGTTCAAACAGGCTATGGGTTCAGGGAAAATATTTTCTAGGGACTCGTTCAGCATGATGCAACAGCGGAGTGTTGGACGAAGTTCAACATATCGGAGAGGTTTTTTAGGCATCACAAGAATTGAAATAATAAATTCCATCGATCAAGGGTCGGGATGAGGGTCAGGTCTTACCTAAAATGACCCAGATTAACATTTTGTTTTTAGGGAGTATACGACTCAGCGTAATCCTTGACGCTTCTTCAAATGCACCATCAACGCAGTCTGGTATTATTCTGACCACCATTTCTTTCGAAAGGTCGAGCAAGGTCGCTTACTTTAATGGGCACCAGTGACGTTTTGCTTAAAAACAAGTATCTAGGTTCACGGTGGTTGCATGAGAAAGTATGGGGCACTTTGGACAGCAATCTGTAGTTTGACTTTGTTATGATTATATTTGGCGCGAAGGTCATAACCCTGGAACCTCAAACTCTGAGGCAAGTAAGCTCACGTATAGACCAACACACCTTGTAAATTTTATCTCTCCAGACATTAGTTATTGGGATATCAGTAGGGCACATTGCGCCCCCCCCCCCCCCCATCCCAGCGAAGGGCATCCCGCCACCCGGGCGCGTGTTAAGTCCCCTCGGACATCCCGATGCAACTGCCCTGTACCCAGGTACCTGTTCTGAGGAAAATGTCATTGTTCATGTTCATTGTTCAAATGTCCGTTTACCTTGTTTGACCTTTGGAAGATCACGGTGACCGTATTCTGCAAGATTGTTTTGATTTTTGCATTTGAGTGAGCGTCAAGAATTGTCATGCGACATATTTTTAAAAACAAAGCGTTGACCTGGGCCATTTTAAATCGGTGACATACTCTGACCTTTGATAAGTCCGTGGAAGCTATCTGTTGCGATCCCTGTTATAAATCAAGGCCACTGGGCCATGTGACTATATCGTTGGTTTGCACATAGCATTCGAGCGCTGTTTTCAAGCCACCACCTACAAAATGTCTGACAGCAGGCACTGGCGAACCTGATCAGTGAGTTCGATACAACTTTGCAAATGCTCCCGTGGCGAGATCCTGCATGCATCGCAAATCGCGTCTCGCGTCATTACAGACGTCACCACTGACGGCAGCGCAGCCGAGCCCCGAACGCCGCGTCCGACGCCAGCGGCGCGTGATGCCGCCGCGTCGCCCCACCTGGTCCATGACGCCACGCCGCGGCTTCGCCTCTGCCGAGACGACCGACGCCGCGATGCAAACTCAGCCTCGGCCCGGCACGGCGGACCGACCAGCTGCCGCAGATCAACCGGATACGGATGACCGACCAGCTGCCGCAGATCGACCGGCTACGGATGACCGACCAGCTGCCGCAGATCGACAGGCTACGGATGACCGACCAGCTGCCGCAGATCGACCGGCTACGGATGATCGACCAGCCGCCGCAGATCGACCGGCTACGGATGACCGACCAGCTACCGCAGATCAACCGGATACGGATGACCGACCAGCTGCCGCAGATCGGCCGGCTACGGATGATCGATCAGCTGCCGCAGATCAACCGGATATGAATGACCGACCAGCTGCGGCAGATCGACTGGCTACGGATGACCGACCAGCTGCTGCAGATCGACTGGCTACGGATGACCGACCAGCTGCCGCAGATCGACTGGCTACGGATGACCGACCAGCTGCGGCAGATCGACTGGTTACGGATGATCGACCAGCTGCGGCAGATCGACCGGCTACGGATGACCGACCAGCTGCTACAGATCAACCGGCTACGGATGACCAACCAGCTGCCGCAGATCAACCGGCTACGGATGACCGACCAGCTGCCGCAGATCAACCGACTACGGATGACCGATCAGCTGCCGCAGATCGACCGGCGACGGATGACCGACCAGCTGCCGCAGATCAACCGGCTACGGATGACCGACCAGCTGCCGCGGATCAATCGGCTACGGATGATCGACCGGCTACAGATAATCGTCTAGCTACAAATAACGGGCCGGGTACATATAGTGGACCTGGCACAGGTAATGGACCAGTTACGGATGATCGGCCAACCCCGGACGACGGGACGCCTCTCTTAGATCAAGCGGCTACGGATGATCGCCTGGCAACAGCAGATCAACCGGCTACGGATGATCGCCCGGCTGCAGTAGATAAACCAGCTTCGGATGATCGACCGGCTACAGTAGATAAACCAGCTACGGATGATCGACCGGCTACAGTAGATAAACCAGCTTCGGATGACCGACCGGCTACAGCAGATCAACCGGCTACGGATGATCGACCGGCTACAATAGATAAACCAGCTACGGATGATCGACCGGCTACAGCAGATCAACTGGCCAAGGGTGGTCGACCGGCTAGAACAGATAAACCGGCTACGGATGATCGACCGAGTACAGTAGACAAACCAGCTACGGATGATCGACCGGCTACAGTAGATAAACCAGCTACGGATGACCGACCGGCTACAGCAGATCAACTGGCCAAGGGTGATCGACCGGCTAGAACAGATAAGCCAGCTACAGATGATCGACCGGCTACAGTACGTAAATCAGCTACGGATGACCGCCCGGCTACAATAGATAAATCAGCTGTGGATG